TGGTGACCACTTTGTTGTTAGTCTTGTTTTTATGCGCGCCGACTGGCAGTCGGGGCAGGACAAAGCCCAACCTCTCCTCCTCCTCCTCCTCCTCCTCCTCCTCCTGAAGAGCATGAGATCAGCCCAATTTAATTCCTTCTTCTACTTACTGGAAAGTCTCGGAACTCTACATTAGTGCATGCTTTTTGAATGCACATTTTGGGTGATACCGTCACTTACTCTTGGTCCTTGTTAAAACTTGGTGGGGTGTAAAATTGCGCTATTTTTTTACATACGCTCTCTCTCCACTGCAAAATAATCAAGTAAGAGACCGAAACGCAAATTTGCTACACTGACTCCGGTACGAAAGCTTCATCAAAAGTTGCAAGGCACAAAATTTTATAGGCATAAAAAGCTAAGGCTGCATTAATTTGTTTGTTTCACTGTGCATTTGGGTTACGGTCAGTTGGGTACCTCCACTACCTCCGAAGAGTTTACTGGCCTCAGGGCGATGCCACCGGCGTCCATTTCTCTCTGTTGGCCGATTATGCACACGCTCCCATGAGGCGCAGGTCTGTCTTTGTGCTCAAAGAAGTCTTGCAAAGCTACCGATGTGGTTTTGATGCAAAGAATAATAAAAAAGAACTGTAGCTGTGAGAATGCCAACCATCGTCACGAAATCCAAACTTTCTAATGATTACCTTATTTAATCCTCACACATGTTGCAGTTAAGCTTTATTTAAAAAGACGTGCAATACTTTATTTATATGGCGACCTAAATGGACGGTGACTACTTTGGATTTTATCTTGCTTTTGCATGACTTGGTTGATTTTCGGGCCACACCAAAGTCCAATTCCTTCTCCTTCTCTACGGATGCATGCATTCAGGCTAACTCAGCGCATCCTTCTAAGTGGTGGGAAGTCTTGGAACGCTGTACTGGTGAAATCGTTGGCGGGTCTTGCGACCAATGTTGCGGAGAGATGTGCAAGCCAGCTTGCATTAGAAAGGAACAGTTAATGACCCACAACTTCTTCCATAGATGTCGAAAGCCAGGCAAAAATAGCAAGGACTTTGCGAAAAACTTCTAAATCCTAGCAGAGAAGATCTTTACTGGCTGCTTCCTCCAACGAGTTTAGCCATGTGTGGCTGCCCAGCTCAAGAAAGGAATTCGTCCACCCTCCTTGGTGGCGAAGACTTGCAAAATCAGTTTATTTATCGATATCGTGGTCTCCAGACGCCAAGAAACTTAGCGCCAAACACTTCTGTCCTCGGCCGCTTTTCCAAACAACTCCAAATGGACCAAATCTTCTGAGCAACGAAGTTCTCCTCCAAGCAATCCCCTTTAACTCATTGAGTTTTTAGATCGCATACGTTCATACGAATGTCGGGCAAAATGTACGACCACTCAAGTACTTTCCTCCTAAAACTCATGGGCGGCCAGGCCTTTATAAAACCTCATAGGCTTTCTCAGTTATTTGTAGCAAAACTACTTCCAACATAGGGAAGAGAGATGTTATTAATGGGAGAAGCCTTAATCGGAGTCACGATCGGGAAGAAGAATTAAGAAGAAAATTTCATGCTGTATTTAGAACCTGCCTGGGATGAGACATTGGGACTTCCTAAGGCAGTCTCATGCGATTTTGAACTTTGCAGAAAGACATTGTTTACGACCACCACCACCACTGAGACCAACCTAACCAATTTCTCTTCTCGTCTAGAACATTACTGCCAGTGAAAAGAAGGAACTGCATTTATTTCTCACTAGGTACTTTAGACGTGATTGTCAACCTTACGATTGGCAAGTGGAGGTATTGGAGACAAGGAAAAAACGATTCAAACGGGATCGGCGAGCTCCAAACAATACCATTTGGACTCTGCAACGCCGCGGCTGCCTTCTAACGACTAATGCAGACAGTATTACGAGGTCTCTTTCCGAAACACTGCACTATCAACCTGAATGACATCCTCATATTAGGGAGAGACATTCAGCAGCACAGCGCCAACCTTCAGCTGGTGCTAGGCCATTTTCTAATAGCAAGCCTGACGCTGCATTTAAAGGGATGTTGTTTTCTCCCAAACTCGATCAACTTCTTAGGCACACAATCACTTCTAATGGCATAGAGTTTACAGAAGACTGAATAAAGTAGGTGCGGACGTGACTGACGTCCACTAATCAAACTGAACTTTGCAGCTTCCTTAGTCTACCAAACTATATCGGCGTTTAAGGAGCTAAAACACGGTTTTGTGCTGCACCGACTTTGGCCTCGAGGCTAACTCTCCGCCTTTCGTACTTGACACAGATGAACGTGACGAAACAATGGACCAAACAACAAATAAACAACACAAAGGTGGAGGTAAATACATCTTTACACATGCTAACTAAGGTTAAACGAAGAAAGTAACACGGAAAAGAGCAACAGAACGGGAATTTTTGTCATCTTTACAATGGTCAGGCAATTTAAACGCTGCATGATGGGCAAACATTCCCTATTGCAAACAGATCATCAAGCCCTAACATGGTTGAAGACAATGGAGGAGATCGACAGCTCAGGTACTGCTCATAGCAATGCGGATACCCTGTGTCGCAGGTCTCCCACGGACGGTACAGATAGCATTACAATAGGTACAATGCTGCTGAGCAAACCCAAATTACATCACTGGAGAAACGTGCAGAGCTTCTGCCCCGATACAGCCCTGTTGTACGAGAGACTAAAGACAACCAAACGAAAGTAGCAGAACTGGGATAAATCCCTCTAGAGGATGACATCATCACAATCTTCAAACTTCTCGTGAGACAGGCAGTCCTACTGGGGCCACAGGAGAAACTTCGCCCTGTGGGGAAAGGAAGATAGCAGAAGCCTCGAAGAGGAGTTGTTCGTGGCCCTTCCTGACCTCGTATGTCTCATTTTTTTTGCCACACGTGTGCTACGTGTATCCGCTGCAAGATTCCAATGACCACGAGATTCCCAAGGAAGAGAGTGGACACAGACAGTGATTGAGAGAGGAGAATAGCTGTATTTTGATAATGACAGACTATTTAACTAGGATTGCTGAAACCGAACCCTTAAAGGCGTAGGACGCTGAGACAGCGGCAAGAGTTTTCAGCGATTGGATTTGTCAACACGGCCTTAACTTTGAAAGGTGACTCTGCGGAACTGTATAGAACCTTCGGGAATCTCCTCTGATATCACCCTTTAGCAAGGAAGCATTGGCAAATGACACTGTAGACTACTTGTAAAACTAAAGGAAGGCCTACGGAAGGTTTTTAATACAGCATGGAAACGGCTGCAGAAAGCATACGTCTGGAAAAGAGGTTTCACGAGGTTTGGGTTAAGGATCAATTCCTAGCCTAGGAACACAAGTGAAGTTCTATTACCGCTAAAGCAAGCTCCCCCACCATGTCCTTAAGGTTTTGTCCTCGGTGCACGATCTTGTGTTGAACACAACGTCGTATCTTGCCGATAACATTCCATCATAACAAACTGCTCCCGTGAGTAGGTGATCCAGTAGTGGGTTACGAAGGTTAGGTCAACGCGTTAGTAGAGGAAAGGTAGAGCTCTGACGGCCCGGTGGGAAGCTTGGTGACTATCACCGGTAGCGGAGGTCTGTGTAATATATTTACTACGTTTAAATTGCCATGACAAGTGAAGGCATGGGTTCCATACCAACGTGGTGCTCGAGGAGCCTGTGAAGGAGACGTTCTTCCGCAGTAGCCAAACCTGTACTTCCATTCACCCCTTCCATCCTTGTAATCCTCATACAATGCTAACCGAACCCAAACAATAAAAAATATCTGAAAGCTTTAGGAGGACAACCGCGGCAACCCATATGTAAGCTATTGACAACTGAAGTAACACGGCCGGAAACCATCTGAATGAATATCGTTTCTGGATTCCGCCTGTTACATCCGCACATAAATGCTGGAGATGACACTATTCTGAATCACCTTCCACTCGAGATTATAATTGACCCCGTTAAACATTTTTTTTAGACAAGTTTACCAAAGTCCAGTCCTGGACAATCTGATGCTCAGCCGAAAGTCCTATTCATGATTCCTGTATGCAGAGCGAACCTAACAGGTGAGAAGATTGAGCACAAGTCCTCAGTCTCATGGTAGCTGATGAATAGCGCGGCTGGCACCGTAGGTGTTTCCACGTAGCGGTAGGTGTAGCTGTGGAGCCCCCCACCCTACCCTCAGGTTTCTAAACCTCTTGTTTTATAAGTGGATTGCTTTGAGAGGGTTTATTAGGCAGCTTTTGCAGAATGCCAAGGAGTTTTGGTATGGCTAAGGCGGCAGCCCGATGTTATTCTGCGGAAGGATCCTCGCGTTCCTTAAGCACGGAATTTGCGTTGAAATGATGTGTATATTTCGATAGAAATAGGGAAGCAGAGGGTGAGGCTCGAATGAGGAGCGGGCAATGCAATTGTTGTCTGGTGACCACACGTATGTCTAACGGTTACTTTGGTATTTATCTTGCTTTTGTACGGGTCAGTCGAACTTCGGCTTTAGCCATAGTCCGTTTTTAGCTTTTCTCTATGAATTCATGCATTTATTATAACCTAAGGTCCTATTTTTTTCCTTAGTGGGAAGTCTAGAGACGCTACATAGCTAACTAAAATTTAGTCATAATCAGAGGTATGGGACCAAGATAGGGTGAAATAAAAGGCAAATTATTAATGGTATATTAAAAAATCCGGCAGCAAAAAATAAAAAAATGCAAAAAAATATGAATTACGAATGTGCGTAAAGTTGTTCTACTGTTGGGTGATCCCGTCATAGAGAATTCAGAGCATATAAGTTTCACAACAACGGATATCATCGTTCAAAGGTTTTTTTAGTGCTACTTCACCTACTATCAAATACTGGCTTGCTAAAACAGTATTACTATATGTGCCCCTCATGATGGGGTTATTATTCGTGTTAATAAAATCCATGATTAATTTTAATGGAACGAATAACCTTACGTTGCGACGCGGGTTCCTCGGATAGATTGCTCAAGTCTGTCCTGTTCGGCGAGGCATGCGTTTGAGGTTGTGGTTTTTATTCCGGGTCCTACTAGTAGCAACTATCATAAGCCTTTTATACCTATATTTCAAGCATTCTGATATTGATCAACGCACCGAATATGATGATGGTACCTTGGTAGACTATCACAATTACAAACTCATAAATGAGGAGAGGCATCGCTCTGGTCCTGGCGAGCATGGTGTTCCCGTTTATCTCTCCGGAGAAGAAAAAGAATTGTCACAACACGTCTTTTCCGAGAATGGTTTTTGTCGTGTTGTTAGTGATAAAATTGCTCTTGATCGGGCTATACCCGATCTCCGCCATGAACAATGCAGTTCCAAACTCTATAGTAGGCACTTGCCGAGTGTATCCGTCGTCATACCAGTTTTTCAGGAGCATTGGACTACACTATTGCGCACCGTTGTTACTGTGACTAAACGTGCTCCTCCTGGTGTTATAAAAGAAATCATTCTCGTCGACGATGGTAGTTTCAAGACTTTTCTTAAGGAGCCCCTTGACAAATATGCCAAAACAGAGTGGCCTCCTGGTTATCTGAACGTGATTCATCACGAAAAGAGGACTGGCCTCATAGCTGCTCGCCTTACAGGTGCCAAAGCAGCCACTGGTGATGTTCTACTCTTTCTCGATTCACACGTAGAAGCCGGAACCAACTGGCTGCCACCCCTGCTTGAGCCAATAATCAATGACTATCGAACAGTCGTGTGTCCATTTATTGATGTCATTGATCATGACACCTTCGAGTACCGCGCTCAGGACGATGGTCGTCGTGGGGCGTTTGATTGGAACCTAAATTACAAGCGACTTCCCCGATTGTCAGAGGACAAAAATAATCCAGCAGAACCGTTTGATAGTCCCATAATGGCGGGTGGTCTTTTTGCTATCAGTACAAAATGGTTTTGGGAGCTGGGTGGCTATGATCCAGGATTGGCAATTTGGGGCTGCGAACAGTACGAGCTATCCTTCAAAATTTGGATGTGTGGTGGGAGGATGGTGGATACGCCATGTTCTCGAATCGGACACATTTATCGAGGGAAAGCAAACTTCCCCAGCGCTAATGCTGGTGATTTCCTGAGTAGAAATTACAGGTAAGACACTTTTATATTCGTATCCATCCTGCAAATATTTTAGGCAGCCATAAGGGCGTTTAGTAAATTATTAAAGCCCATTACTCTTCTTTTATGGAACCCAATACAGGCTTAATTACTCGATGTTTGCTCATATTTGACACAATTAAGAACCTATCCATTGTGAGTCGTTGCACATCCATTAGCAGCAGTTTTTTTCTTCTGGTTGAGTAAAGTCTTCTACCTAGCCAAAAATCAAAATCGGTGCTATTTTTTAGTTGGAATGGCTAACATTGAAATTAATTTAACACATGAGTTCATTTACGAAGACGTGAATCATCTTTGCCATAAGCACGTTAAAGAAGTGGACGACTAGTGGGCGCCGAATCTCGCAAAATTGCGAAGATCCTCATGTGGTTAAAAATCCGTAATAAAGCTACCATTTTCTGCTCTGCTGCACTATTTAGGCGCCTCATGGACGTGTGGATGGATGAGTATAGTAAGTACGTCTATCAGCGACGACCTCATTTGAGAAATGTCGATCCTGGTAATCTGACTGACCAGCTTGAGCTGAGAGAAAGACTGCATTGCAAATCGTTTGACTGGTTTATGAAAAACGTTGCCTTTGATTTGACCAAGTACTATCCACCAGTGATTCCGATTCCTGGTGCCAAGGGGAAGATCTACAAGGCTGCGGACAGGAGCTACTGCATTGCTCCCACAGCTGATATAATGACGCTGGTTAAATGCGCCGAAACCTCTGCCACCTTTGAGCTCACCTGGCATGGAGACGTTTTGATTAAGGGAACGTGAGTTCATTCGCTCTCTTGCTTTTTAAATTTATTCAAACGCTAATCCATTCCTGTCATTTGAAGCTCTTGTTTGCTCTTGATGATTTTACGGTAGTAATAGGATTTATTGCAGTTTTAATGATAGTCATGAGACTTAAGGTTGGTTTACTTATGATTTCATCCGGTTTCGACGAATGCCGATTTTCTGTGGAGCAATTTTTATTCTACTCTTATTGCTAGTTTCTCCGCCCACTTTAGGCTTTAAGTTTTGTTTTGTTTGGTAGGGTTCCCGTAAATTAGACACTCACAACGTTTGGAGTTCAGTTGGATGATGATAAATGTCCTTTACATCGCCAAAATCCATCGCTTCCAAATAGCGTCACCGAGTTAAACATTTCGAGCCTCTGGACTTGGGTAGATCTGACGATTTTAAGGCAAATGGATTGTTATTGTCGCGTGGAATTCTCATATTTCCTATCTACCATAAACGGATTGAATCCACTGAGTTGGCCCACATGTTCTCAAATGGTATATGGTTTCTAGATAATAGAATATTTTGATGCACCTTCATAGTACAAATTTCTATTCCCGACTCGGCTGGAGTACAAATAGCGCATGAAGTAGAACTAATGTCTGTAAATATGCTCCGTTAATTCCTTATTTCAGTTCTGAACCGAGAATAAATTGCAGATTTCGGCTATGCTTTCTAAGCATACATCACTTGAAGGCTAGAATTTTTTCTGCTGATGCCATTAATGAACTTGTATCCGCTGGACAATTCCTGTGCTCTTGTTTATTATTCGTCCTACTTTTCTCTTCCACCTTTAATGGGCACAGTATCGGACTGTTAAAGCTTAAACGATACTATTCCATAGTTTCTATCACAAATATCATTCCTCTAGGTAAAGGAAGCACCTTAATTGCGGCTGTGAAAAAACCGGTTCTCGTGAACTCCTAAATGACACGTTAGCAATCACACCTAAGAGTTTTCACCATCGGTAGGCAACACATAGGTTGGCTGTACAGGTTGTGCAAGCAAAGCCTTGCCTTATCGCGTTTATTTTAAACGTAAAATAGCTCGCATGTCTGTTTGCATTCAATGCATGGGTGGAGCCTGTCCTTCTCTGATCCATTCCTAGATTTAGGCTTTAATAGTCTCCTATCCAATCGAATTGAATGCCAATATATTCCCTTACCCTAATCCGCTATACAAAGGATTTCGAACCATTGTTTTCGAGTACATTTCGACGTGGCACATCGTCCCACTATGGACTTCGTTACTCGCAACGTTGTAAAGTGAAGTAGTTCTGAAGTAGTAGGTCTGGTTCACTAGTTGTTCATGCGTGCGGTGTGAGTAGAGTCAATCCCACTAGTTTTCTCAACAAATGCGTACATTAATTACACTGCTGGCTCTACGTAGGGTCACAGTCGAATTCGTCTCATTTGCTTACGCTCCACATTTTCACCCTTCGATTTGTTCACAATAGTTGCTCCTGGGGTGCATACTTGATTGCAATAAATAGCATGGAAGCGACTGGACGTCAATGCTGCAAGTTCTGGTTGGTAGGGTTGGAGAGGGCCTCCCTCCAGCGCATCAATAGTCTCTATCAATGCACAAAGTCTGAATGTTTGCGTGTGTTGTAATCACACGAAGCGCATAGCACCAAGACATGATCCGCGAGGATAGCTGATCGTCCGTTTTCATTCAATGGGTCAATGGCAAGGCCATCATACATGGCTTTTCATTGATACTGCAATTTTCATTGCTACAATGAGTAGCCCTAAAAACGAGTATGAGAAGATCAACGTTTTACCCCTTGTATTGGTTAAATTTTGTAAAAAAAAAAATCGGTACCTGTTTTACTTCAGTTTTAAAAGTTTGTAAAGCATGAGAGTGATGACTGTTTCCGACTTTAGCAATTATATTTGTAGTGTAAGTAAGAGAGCCTAAATTTGCTTTTTTAGAGAACTAGCTGTGCGTGAAGTTTCCTTCTGTCTCATGATCGGCTAAAATCACTTTTAAGGGAGATTAAGATTCGGTTTTGTGCACACAATCTTTCTTTTTCGTGCTCGTTTACGTCGTTGAAACTCATTCACAGTATCCGACCACAGTATTTCCAAATTCCACCAAAGGCTGTTTATTGCAGTTTCTGGATCAGGTTGTACATGCTTCTAGTTCCGGTAAAGGTCAGTGGACTATTCCGCTTTTAACACTGTTTAGTTTAGACTTACCGCCTTTCATCCAATGAGTTTTTGTAAAAATGCACACATACTTTGCTTCATTCACCCATCCAACTAAGAGAGGACGGAAATTTTTATGACTCTTTAAGCTGATTTATTGTTAAAAGCCTGTGTACAGTGTGGTGCAGGTCTCTTGAAGGCAATTATGAGTACAACTAGCAGATTTTGCGTTATTTCTTTTAGACAGTTGCTGGACGATGATTCGAGGTAAATCGCCGTCCCTCATTCTGGTTTTCTTTCATGAAGAACTCGTAGGTAAACTTCGAGTAAGACCTTATGCTAACTTCCTCCACCTAAACCTCAAGCGAGTTGCACCATTTTGTTGTGTCTCTGGAAAGCCTAAACGCCATTGTAGCAGCATTTTCAGCCTCAGGGGAGTGCAACTACTTGCAAAATTTTTATACGTCATTTATATGTAGTCGTATCATCACCTATTTCGTTTTCAACCATGAGCGGAGGAATTAGCATTCCAAGATGCTTCAAAAACGCATTGATATTTCTATAAATTCACGACAAAGCTGGCCGAAAATGCTTTCGTACTAATTGATGTTGTTTGGTGTTTAATTAGTTCACGGAAACTTGGTTCTGTTAGTCTCAAAGTGCTCTTGAATGACCAAATACCAAGCTCGGCTCTCATTTCCTGTAAGTGCTTTGAAGTCGTTGGACGTCCAATTCATTTGTTAGTGTCTTATCTGTGTTCCTTACCTTTCTCCTTAGTTTGAGTTGGTTTGACTTTAATATTTAATGTGATGGCGGGGTAAGCGGACAAAATGACAGCTCTTTTCTCCCTCCCTCCTCTCCTGCATGAAAGTGGCACGCAGGATGTGACAATGAGTTTAATGTGTATTTTATATCTCTCATCGGCAAGTTACCTAACCATCGTCTGGTTTAGGTCAGAAGCATCCTCCTTGTAATGAGTAGATTGGTGCAAATTACGATAAATGGATACTAAGCTGACATGGAACTACACGTTTTGTTTTTTGGCTGTATGTGGCTATTCCCCATTCTTCCGCGAACTCCAGAATCAAGGTGCCGTTTTGTTTGTTGGTTTGTGATAGGCAAAATAAACGTTTTTATCAGAAACACTAAAGAACGCAACATTTTTCTGTAATCTCAGCCTAGTAGGGGTTCCTTCCCTCTATTGCTCATCTAGAGCTTGTAAGCTGAAGTCATGTGACTTGTCCACTTCTACTGGTCTTTCCACAAATGGATGATCAAGTGCGAAATGTACTATGCAGTGAATGGAAATAAATACCTTACCATGAATAAAGTACAAATACAAAGACATTTGTGTGCGTATACGTTCTTCACTCTGGTAATGTGGAGGTGAGAATACCACGGCATTGTGCCCTCTTAATTTTAGGGTAAACTGCAAGATGCCACATTTCACTGACATTCTTGGCTCCTCAAACAACGTAGAGGTAAATTAACACCGACATCTTTTTTTGAAATGTTTTCCAATGGGTCTTAATTACGTGAGGCCGTCTCGTCCCCTTCCAGCCCATGCCCCTGCTGTCGTCCCTCACACAGCTTACCCTGTTTAAAGCCTGTTCAGATGCCTCTTTTATGAAATGATTGGCGCTGCCATGCGAAGACTGTGGTTCAATGGTGAAATATCATTGCATTGTCGCTTGCCGAAATTGCCGTCAATTTGAAGGTCGAATTACAGAAAATGGGAGGGGTCAGACTATTTGAGTTTGCGATTAAGACAAGCTTAAATTTGCTGTGTTTGATGGTCATTTCATTTCGTCACTTGCCGCCTCTCATACTGCGATTACGATGGAACACCGCATGTAGGTTAGAATGAGGTTGTAACATAGCAGCCTGATTAAGCAGCATCAGGGAGTGTGATATAACTGTCAGTGAACTGAATGCCTTTGGATGACATTGCTAACCTTACTGATGGAACTCTTCTCATGGATGCATTTGAAGAGGTGACTGCTGGGATGTGCCGAGCACAGTGCGAGGTGCACCGATAAAACGGTTTGGCTGTCACGGGCAGAAGGGCAACCAGCACTTCACACTGCAATGGGTAACTGGTGTGGATGCCAACCCGGTGATGCTAAGGCATGTGCCCTCAAACACATGTGTGGAGGCGGAGGTCGCGGCAGTGCGTGTCTACCTTGCCCCTTGTGACAACAGTGTGGTCGCGCAACACTGGCATTGGGAAACGGTTCAGTGGAAGCTCGCCAAGAAACAGGAACAGGAGCTCCACCTGGAGCAATAGCTGGCTGTGAACAAGTCTTCTTCCTCTCCCCCTCGCATCCATTTCTCTTGTCTCCACCTTCGGGTGTGTATATGTATATTGTTTGGCTTCTTTCCCTCTACCACCACATGTACATCTTTTAGTTCAATAATCGTGATTCACTCCTTTTCATCAAATTCCCCTTTTGGGACGTTTTTAGCAATCTGTCTGCATATCAGTTCTGTGAATACTGTCTGTACTTATGTGGTTTGCACGACTTTTTTGCTCACTGCGCCTGTGCTGGCGGATCTGTCAATGGCTGTGATCTTTTTTTCAATTATGAAATGGATCTTGAAGGTGACGAGCAATAGAAGGGATCGTGGTGTTGACAAGCAGCAGTTTTGTATACTTAAAGATGGTATTGACTGTGAAATCGCATTCATTTACCCGAAGTGTCAGCTTGCTAGAACCTTTATTTCAGGTTGTACGAGTAGGAATGTTTGGTGATGCGGGTGTGTTTGTGCTCCTCCCTTGCAACTGAAAAGAGGTGCAAAGCCACCAATTCGTTGACATTAGTTAGGCAATGCTGGCGACTGTTGCGTGCTGGGGCCTCATTTCATAGGTAAACTCGTGGTTGGTGTGTTTGTGTCTGTCCAATTGCATTAATCCTGCGCACATCCTTTTATCGAATCAGAGCCACTGTTACCAGAGCTGTCGTTGATAGATGGGGTTGATGGGTCATTTGCTGGACTTGGCATTCCAGCAGTGTATTCATCGACTCTCAAGAGAAGGTTGGCTTTGCCCTCGGGATTAGGGGAAAGGGAGAGGACAAAGTTGTGCCTTGGGGATTCGTGATAGGCTGGCAACTTGCCATGCGTATCAATGTGTGCGAGGGTTCTGCTGACGTGGCGTGTCATGTTTCCTACGGTACCTTGATAGCAAAGTAGAGTTCCGATCGAAGACTGCATTTTATATCCTCTTTCTTATGAAAGAGGAACTGGAAACTGGGAACATGCGTGTGGAGGCGCATTCTTAATACAAATCAAGAACTGTCGCCGAACTCAGTATCCGTGACGCTTAGTAATATTCTATTCACCTTGCCTACCCTGGTTAACCTCCCTTTACTCCTTACATGCTGCTGTTTTGCGGCTTCTGCTGTAGGGGTGGTGTTTGCTGCATCAACATTACGTAACCGTAGAGGCGTTAGTTGATGCCCTCGAATCTGGGTTCATGTGTAGTGTTCAGAGGGGGCACCTCACAATTGAGCGTGCCAAATAACTTTCGAGAACGTCTTACAGCGCTTGACTGCCTCGAGCTCTGCACAGCTGCTGCACTAGAAGTGCGCAAATCGCCGCATAAGCCTCTGATAATTCGACCTCATTAATGCGCATCCTAGCAGTCAGATCATGTCCGAAATATCTGACTATTGGTGAGATAACTCTTTCTGTATAAGATTTAGTACTTGTAGAAGGGAAGATGTGGTTCTCCACACCTGTCCCTTTACTTGAATACACTTCCTATGGTAATGCTAAAATCGACGTGGCATGAAGCGCACTACTTAATCAGAGCTCATTTTCACCATGTCATTAGTTTATACATCAGACTAGCAAGTTTTTTAACGAAGTTCACTAAAACTGAGGAGCTGAGGCGCTTAGTCTGATCGACGAGTGTTGACTAAATCGTCACTTGACGCTCATCGGCAACTACAATCTTGTCTGACACGACAGTATACCCCACGACATTAACCAGGCAATGCAAAAATTGGTATTTCTTGGAACTCAAAACCAACCCTGCAACACTAATCTCAAGTTGGCGTTGCCCACGCAAATGATTCAGGCGAAGACGGGAATATTATGCGAACAAAGGGTATAATTTGCGAGCAAGGAGTGGTGCGTTAGAGTTCACAACACATTGCCCATTGTGCAAGTTTTAAAACTAGTACCGAAAACCAACGCGATGTGGGGTGACAGGAGTTACTGTGTTACTGTTACTGTGTTCATCTTTCCTGGGTCGACTCAAAATCACGGCTTTCCACAGGTCGTCTTTCCTACTACATCCAGAGAGGATATTGGAGGCATGAATGAGCTTGTGCCCCACCTTCGATCGGACAATTTGCTTCTCCGCAATCTTGCATTCGCTTTGCAATATTTGTTCTTTGCAGGGCTTAAAGGATGTCTAGTTTGTTCTTAGTGATTGTATTTTCCTTAGTGCCGTACCTTTCATGAGGTTCAGAATTACTTTCGAGTTATTGGAAAAAAGTGCCAAAATCACATCTTGAGCTAGTTTTGGATAAAAATGAATCCCGTTGCCCAGTTTCCTTTGCCTGTACTGACTTTTAACGTCTCCCGCTTGACAATCATCTCCCTTCCCTTCCTTCAGCTATACGCAACCTTATAGACTGTAAAGCGATCCTCATGTTGTGGCAGGCTAGGGAGACCCCAACCACTTGTTACCGATCTAGCCACGTTAGTGAAAACGAACGTTATACGGGCATCCTTCCAGTTTGCCCGCGGCCCGCAAAAATGAATGCGGACAATTTAGGAATAGAAAGGACAAGAAAAAGGAAAGCTCATCCGATTTTGGGTACTACTCGAAGAAACAGGATAGAAGTGTATTAAATCCAGCCTCTTATTGCAGGTTTTGTGGCGCAGGGACATGGACGACTTGGTGATTTATGCTTGCTAATTTAATCAACTAGAAGTTACTATTCGCGCTGCGGAGGTCCTCCATGCCTTCAACCTTGCTTTTGTGTGGACTCTACATGCACTACGTAAATTCTTGAAGGCTTCGAAAGCGCTGATATGTGTCGACTTGCTCTTAGACTGCCAACGGATTTATAAACAGATAAAGTTCACTCGCCTAAGTTCCAAGATTTACTGAAACTGGAAAAAAATAACCAATGAAGTTTGGATGTAAAGACCCTCAGTTTTATGGTACACATACACTGCGAAGCCAAACTGCGTTGCAACCCTGAATAAAAATGTTTATTGTATGCTTTCGAAATGGCTTTCATTCTAACCGAGATGATTTATTAGGTGAACGAAATGCACCTTCCTCATGCATAAAAGGGTTGATCGCAAAGGTTCGTCCATTTCTATTCTGTGTAGTTGCCTAAGCATTGGACAGCATCATCCAGAATGCTGTCGTTTTGCCCTGATGTTAAAGACAGTGAAACCGATAGCACCATATCAAATACCACTGTTTACCGCTTAAATAAACGTAAATGGAAACCAGAATCAGTTGCACTTCGAGCTTGTGCAACCAAAACTGATACCCACATAATCCTAGTAAATGAATTAGCAACATAAATTATAGCACTTGAATACAATCGAGAAAATGAGCGCAGCGTTTGAGAATGCCAGGATCTGCTATATTAAATCACAGAACGCGGGTATCCAAAATTACTTACTGGCTTGCCCTACCACGCGTTTAACGAATTTGAAGGACTTACCACAGGCAGCTCTCTCAAGCATCAACGCTGATACCACTTAAACAAATGGGTTAAAGTTAGGGATCAAAGTTCGTACGATGATTTTATACTAGACAACATACATGGATGAGTTAATCAATTATACGAATCGTACCGCTATTTGTGGAAGAGCACAATCACTTTACCTTTACCAGAAGGACATAAGTTCATTGGCAACGATCACGCTTTGATCGCATAGAAAAGTTTCACGAAAACAATTTCCCCAAAGTTTTGGACATGACATTTTAAAGCCCGTGTTATAACCTGTCATTTGAAGGATAACTATAGGAAAGGTTGCTGGTAAGGGTGTGCGAAAAAAGCGCTAAGGTATGACAGAGTCCATCAGAGATGGGCCACAAAAGACGACACCAGTTGGAACTCAGGCCCAACAAATACACTGATAAGTGAAAGTAAACATAGTAGTGAAGTACGTACCATGCTTATGCATCAACTAGTACCAACATCAATGAGATGTCGAAGCATTGTAAGGCTTAGCGGATCAGTAGTGGTACAGTTTGAATGAGATGGGGAAGAGAACAAAGGAGTTAGAGTCTGACTTCCGTTTCCTCTTCAGCAGTGTGCACAAGTGCCTGACGCTTGATACCCCAGAAGAGACGAGGTCGAAGGTTATCAGAAGTGGCAGTGAACCGCCAGCCCATATGGCTGTTGCAGGCTCCGCATTGTGCGATTGTCCACGCATATCTGGAATGAAGGGGACACAAGCTAGTGTCTCAGGAAATGAAACCGAGCACATTTGTGAGGGAGCGACGCTAATCAGCCTCCACAATGTTAATGTGATGCTCTGCTTGTAGTATCCATAGTGTTAATGTTCTAATCCCTTTATAGGCATCTTCACAGATGAATGGAATAACACAAGACATAGTTAGTTATCAAGACTCACTTAACTTAAACTAATCGTTTACATTTGAAGTAGCATCAGTGGTTGCCGTAGCATTTGCAAAGTTGTTTAGCATTCGATACAACATTTAACGCAGTGCGAAAAAAAATTTTGACCAACACAAACAATAAATTACGATCTCACCCAGGAAACCATGAGTATTCAGCAGTGGGGGCACCAATCAAATCGATGGAATCAGGATGAACTGTACTGAGGGTGAGCATATCGAAGATAAAACCATGTGGGTTCACGTAGGCCAGCGTTGAGCCCTCGTGCGACAAGCAAATAACATTCTTCTGAGAGGATATTGCAGCTTTACATCGGGAGCAGGCAAGCTCAGAGCACTATGGAATAGATCGGAATAAGATACGGCGGTTCTAAGAATGGGGCAAAGCCAGAATGCATCACTAGGCAACGCCGAACGTCTCAATTGACAATTTAAAGTAGACATCATGATCAAAAGCCTTTTCGCAAAAAAGTAGATGAAGGCCTCAGAGCCCTACCGATCGGATGAACTGAAGACAGGCTCGCAGCCGCTGAACCACATGATCGATTTTTAAGAGTTCTCCTTTTTGAACACATGTAAGGGGGAGGTTTTGCAGCAGCCAATAAGAAAATGGCACTGCAAGTGAGGGATTCCATTTGTCCATTTGCCAGGTATTAGTCCACCGTGAGAGTTCGGCTCGAATCTCGGCAATCAGGAAGGGCTTGAGAAGAGGAAGAGAACAAGATTAATTGCATAAGCATAACGTTTGTTGTTCTCAAAAGCAAAAAAACCAACGCACCAGATCGTACTGTCGGTAGACCCATGGGGGGTGAGGAGTCGTACAATCGGCTGCTGCGGCCAGGATGTCTCGCCGACAGGGCAGGCGACAAGGGTTTTGAAGTTGAAGGGAATCATTTCCGTCACTACCAGCATCCGGGATAGAGGTAGGAAGGCACCAGGTGCTACGCGAAGCATCAAAGACGCCAAAAGCATCTCCGGGCAAAGGGTAGGGGATGACACGTGGCTCTGGACTTAAATCAAGTGTTCTCAATTCTAATACTACTGAAATAACCAAAGCAGCAACGTATATACAAGCAAACGAGGATTACCTTTGAGATTGATCGTTTGATGACAAGGGTGAGAAGATAAAGTCAGGTTCGGAGGCAAAGCGACACCAGGAAGGAGGTATGGCAAGTCTACTTATGGGACCCAACGATGCTCCATCCATCAAAGTCTCTGGAAGAACCAGTCCCTTGCAGAAAACGCTATTACTGCAATAAAGAAGTCATCGTGTGTTAACGAAAAAAGAACCCACATGAATTTTACGCAGCTCATAGACTTTGTTAGTTTATCTACGCCTAAGCTATAACGTACCAGCTCAAGAACATACAAAAAGATACAATTTATTCACAAGAACGCAATTTGACTAGAACCACTCACTTTTAACTCCTTTCCGAGGTACAGGACTAAAAAACCCATTTCAAATCGATACACAACCAAGCCTACTGATACAGGCGGACCTACTTAAAACTGGCAGTCTTAACCTAAAGTCATGCCGGAAAATGGAAAAGAGTTCACCGTCTACCAAGATGTAAACCTGTAGAGGTTAAACGGGAAGCCACTAAAGAGCATAGGAGTTAGCTGGATGACAGTGAGAATCAAACAAGGAGCTCGAGTTCTTCCCTGAAATGTATTTTAATTTAAACATAGAAATTCAGTGTTGAAGTTTTGACAGGCACGAGCACTGCAGTGAGCCGCGTTGAACGATGAGGATCAGAAACAAGCATCAGTAAAGCTCTAGCCTAAGAACCGAGCTAGAAACTAAAACGAAAGTGGAACATCCGACCATCGTCTGCGAGATGAAGAACAAAAGCGGATGTAGTACTGCAGAGGCGATGAAAAGGACGTACTCTGAGGAAGAAATCTGAATTTCCATGATGCGCAGACGTTGTCGACCGAGAAGAACAGGGCTGCACCTTGATCCACTGAATCGGATAGTCACGAGATAGGCGATAGTGGCAATATGGCCAACAAAATCCGACGGGATGGGTCGAGTAAAGCTACGAAAGGGTAGAAATATTCAACACAGTCTGACACGAGCTGCAAAGACCCAGCCTTACTAGTTATGGCACTTACCAACCTGGTAATATGGCCACTGGATCACGGTAAGTGTTCACAAGCTCCTCTTCTGTGTAGCTGGTAAATGACAGAGGCAGCGTGTAACCGGGAATCAAAACAATGCCCGGCTTGTGCAGCATATGAAGTGAAACAACAGTTCCAGGCTCCTGATGATTGGTTGTATCGATTGCCACGGAATCTTCGCCAAGATACTAAGAACTCACAAAGTATTTTTGACTTACTGTGTGTCTGCCAGGGAGTGATCTGTCAAAGTTAATATCACTTTCTGAAATGGGTTCCCCAATTTCCATCGGGGAATGTGCGTCCACCAACTGAGGCGTTTCATCAGCAATGCCGTCGATTAGATCTGAGTCATCATTCGTCTCGGATTCAGACTGTGATTCAATACCTTAATTTGGTATTTATAGTATAAGTCAAGCTTACTCATTTGGAGCGAATGCTCAATCCTCACCTCCGGGCTGTGAGAATCCAGAAGACCTTTAAGACAATCCGAAAAGGTGCCAGAGGGTCGAAAATTTAAACAACTAGTTTAAAGTTGAGTATAAGCCCCAATGGTAAAAGCATTAAAATCAAGACTCAAATAGGCTGTATGCATTTACACATACATTTTATCGCTGACTCGCGCCTTGTGCATCTGAAATTAGTCAAAGCACGGAGGATGTTTATCACTGGCCCATTCTAGTTGGCTTTATATGGTGTGCATTATAAATTTGACTTAATGTGAAAATACTGAATGCTTTATTGGTCCTAAGACTTGTTGGCAACAGTGTGGCCTTTTCAGATTTGTTTTAGCCTGTCTTGTTAATTGGGAACTGTATTTCCATTAATTATTTGCATGTTACTCATTTTTCACGAGTTATTTCTTCTCTTAGAGTTATAACATTACATTTTCAGGTACTTTAATCGCCCACAATATCGATGTCCTTCTAATTACCAGCAGTACCACGTGTCAGATCTCCTGAATGTCAAGGGTTATTATCTTTGGCATTAATTGATTTTGCATATGGCACCATTTTATTCGGTCGATTCGTTTTATGACAAATTCCGGCTATGGGGATGACATTCTATATATAAACCTTCAGAGAGGTAATAGTTTTATGTACCTCGTCGGAGAGAATAGTATCAAACATAGAAATCACTGGAGTAGCAAATGTGCGTGGGCGATTACAGCTATTTGACACCTTGTTTACTTCTGTGTTAGTCAACACAAGCATTTGAGTCTTTGCAGCTGTTGGCAAATCTTGAGTTTATGATGTATCGTCAATGGTTAATGCTGAACGAAGTGTCAAACGTCATACAAGGGCAAACACTTCATATACTTCACCTAGAGGAAGTTATTAGGCGCTACGTATATTATTAAGGTAGAGGCTTTCCTTGGTGGAGCTTACTTTTTCAATATTACAGGCATTGGGTATCTGCTATTATAGATTCGATCCACCAAATACCAAGATGTGGGGTATGGGAAAATTGTAGTTGTCATCGAAACTTTGGGAAGCTGTGAATAGGCATGCCATACACTTTGCTACCTTGCAGACATTCGGAAGCACTGGTATCTTGATGAGTGCAAGAGCACCTAGCTCACATCATTAAAGTCAGTTAAAACGTAAGATTTGCATTTGAGTGCCGGTTTTTTTACGCATTTGTCAAGAAATTTCCCAATAGCACACTCATTGGCTTTGTTGTTTTTAAGTATTTTTACAACAGCGACGTAGTGCAAGCAAGTTAAATCAGTTTGAGACCACTTTAGACCTCCAAATAATGCTCAACAGGACGGGAAGAATTAAAGTGATCCGTTTGGCTGCTGGCAGTGTTCCGCGTGTGCGTTGGGAGTCATAACATTACGATACTCTCTCAGGCCCAAATATGAAGCTTGATGCCTCAGTTGAGCTCTTCTTACTCTCAGATTATTACCATTGCTCCCAGTAAGGAACAACTTGACCATTTGCTAAGTAGGTACGAATGCGGAAATCCCAGTGGAAGAGGTGGGAAGTGGAGGCATTCCGACGTATTGAGTGATAGTTGCAGTGTAAGGGCTTTAGTCTCTGTTTACTATCACGTTTACATCAGACTGTCGCAATTGCCACACTACGTTGAAGTGCAGATGTACTCGTTTGATGGCACGCCGGGTGCCAACTTCAGCTCCTATATAATGCTGCTATCGCTCCACGCCTAACACTATCACCACCATCCAGAGGGTCGCAGGGCTGTGATGAGGGACGGTATGTCAATCTGCATACTTATGTTCATCCTGCATAAGTAAATAATGTTTGTAAAACTGCTAAACGTTAATCACCTTAATATCTGTCGTCAAAGAATAAGCCTTCTACCAAGTTCCACAGCAAGGTCACACTTATTGCGATTTCTTCAATTGAAATTTGTACCTATTGTCCGGACACAGAATGTTGTCTATAGGCAAAATATGTGGGAATTCTTTACGATGCTGCAGCATTGTGTTATGGATTCTATTCTCGATCTGCACGTTGATCGCCGTCGGACTGGTGCTCTGCGAATCCTTCTTTGATAACATCGAATTTAACTTAGTTGTTCAGGTTAGTTCCGTGTCTTTGATAAAGTCAATAAGGACAATTTCCTTGTAGAGTCTTGCAATTGCAGAAACTTCATCGAGTTTTCACATTCTAACGAATGACTCTATAAGCCTAGTTAGCTTCTACCTATTTAATCTGACCAACGCAGAAGAGTGGCAAACGAATGGCACGAAGCCAAAATTAAGGGCTGTTGGACCCTACAGGTACAGGTGAGTTAGTTGGAATGTTCAAGGTGACCTCCCTTCACTCACTCCCTGCACGTGGGGTGGTATAACTTGTTTTGTTTTATTCAGGCGAATTACTAAGAAAAGCGACATACACTTCAGTGAAGGTAGTTGCGGCCAAAGAGTCTTGGAGTATAAACTGTCCACCGTGTACCACTTTGAACCGAATGGCTTCACTCGGGATCCCAGGCAAGACAGGCTAATTGTACCCAACTTTGTTGAAGGCGTAAGTGTTCGTTAAAAGCAAATCCTATTTTCTTCCTTTTAAAAATTTACAGTCGTCCTGTTGAGCAGAGGAATAACATGGCAGCTCCAATGTAAATTTGGGTAAAGTAGACTACTTCGTCTTGCTACTGGGTTTTACTTCATCCATCGCCACAATTTTGTTGGGCTGGAAAGCCACATCTGCAAAGCAGTGGATGAATGGATCAGTCCTCAGAGAGTGGAATAATTTCACCCGAATAACTTGAACGAGTAGAATTGCAGCGAGCTTCTTTAATGCCTCTTATCAATCCCCTGTTTAGATCGCCAACTCCATGATTAAACAAGCCGGATCTTTGGGTACGAGAGCAGTGTGGTACTTCTTATCAAAACCACTTCTCTTGAATCTCACCGCGGAGGAGATCATGTGGGGACATGAGTACGGAAATTTGGTGGCAGGACGAGTCCTAGGCATGGTTGAAGACGCCAAGATTGGTCTGTTCAATAGAGTAAGGGTGCATTGGTTTCGATTCATTCGACCTCTATGGCCTCCCGTAGCATCTGGGGCGGGGGTGGAGAGGACTAAATCAAGATTTCCTTTTGGTTGACAGCTTAACAATACAATCTATGGCCCCTACAAAACCGACACAGGGAATATCAACATCTCCAGACTGGGTGCCTTGGTGGCCTTCGAAGGAAAGACGTAAGTTTGTACTGAAGCACTATTTTATGCCCTTTTTACATTGAGAATGTTCAGTTGGATCCTGTTTCTCTTGCAGGCAACTTGACAAATGGGGCTCAGACTATGCTAATATGCTCAACGGTACAGGTTAGTTTTGCAGCGCAATAACACACTGGAAAATGCATTTCCGACTACTCCTCTGTGCCATGCATTTCATTTTGTAATTTGGGTATGCTGAGTTGTTGTGAGGCAGCGGATTGCTCAACGAGCCACCAAAGGCTGATGCGAGGTTCCATTCTGTCTACTGACTGCTTCAGTATTGCAAAGCTGTGTGACTGTAAAGTTCTCAGTAAAAGTAACTTCCTTCGTTTAGCCGACATCATCACACCACCGTCGGTGAAGATGGGCGATAGGCGTTACATGTTTAGCACTGAAATCTGTCGCTCGGTGCCGTTGGTAGCTAAGAAGTGGGTCTCTGCCAAAAATTTTCCTCAGTTGAAGGTACGTTTTGGGCTTATGAATGAATCAGCCTTATGAAAGCCTATAATTTGGTGCAGCCATTAATTATAATGCTATACTTTTTAGCTATTGTCCCTGGAAATAGATAGCAAGGTATTTCTCAGTGCTGATGAGGACCCGGACAATGCTGCCTTCCATGCACACGTCTATCCCACCAATAAGTATCCTCCAACTGGTCTTTTGTCAATAAGTCCTTGTGTGGATTTCGGTATTGAAGGTGACGAGCCCTTATTCATCTCTCTTCCCTTCTTCAATCAAGCTGCTGATGAAGTGAAAGACTCTGTTGCCTTCGACGGTCTCATTGAACCCCATTTGACCTCACAAGTGCACGTTGACCCCGTAAGACCTGCTGTTCTTCTATACCCAAAGTAGGGAGCCTTGACCAAAGGGATTTAATGGATTCATGCTTAATCATGTTTAGCCGTAAACGTTTCTGCTGGAGGGGAGTTTGGTCAATTCTGTATCCACTCATTTGACTTAAATTTTATGCACTCATGTTGACAGGTTCGGTTCTTCTTTTCACATCCGTTTGCCTATTTACTTCACTTTTTACAGAAAACCGGAATTCTGGTCGAAGGCGAACTCTTCTTCCAAATTAACATCTTTCTATCCAAAACGTAAGTTGGTGGCAATGCAACGCCCATTTTGCACCTTTAATGGGCAGCGTCAAGCACATTTCATGCGAATGGAGAGACCTGCGCTGGTCGATGCTGTCACTCGGCACCACCCAAGCTGGTGATATCATGTTGAGCAATTTCTTTAACCTTCTCTCCATCATAGCCTGCAACACAAACCACCTCCTGAGGTCTGGTAAGGTGGTGCTCAAGTCTTGTAACTTTAAGCCTGATTAGCAGAATTTGACTTCACTTAGAGGGACTTCCCCATTTTGCCCTTACGTGGTTGATGGGAGGTGTCTCAACTTACTTCCTATTTGTCATTGTAGAATACAGAGAACACCAAAAGATATCTATTTTCCCCTGGCGTATATAAACGAAGTAAGTTTTGGTAGTGCAAAAACATGAGTCTGGAGTGTGCCCTTTTCGTTGTGCTTCATACGTTGCAAATGCCCATTCCTCTCCTTCTCAAGACCACATACGCTGAACAAGAGTCTGCAAAGCAGCTCTACCGGATGGTCTATGAGACGCCAGAAGTGATACGTAGGGCGTTGAGGTCTCTTCTCGGTCTCTCTGCAATTCTGGCAGTGCTGTTTTCCATCTCCGCTCTGATTCTTCACTGGCGAGAGCATCGACACTTGTTTGCTCCGTCGGAAGTGAACTGTGGCCTTGAGGAAGGCAGTTTGAAAGAGGAGGACTCCTTTTATTGTATGTTTTGATGTATTATCAATTTTGTGCATAACGAATCTGCCTTTTTAAATGTTTTACAAGGGTCTCCATAGTACAAGTACTTTGAATGCGTGTTTATCTCTCCATGTGAGTCCAAATGGGAGGCGACACAAAGACCACAAGTAAGCTGAAGCCGTAAAGAAGGGCAAACAACACTGAAAAGCTAGCATAGGACTAGGAACGATTAAAGGAAGTGTCTCAATGCCATGCCGCCCCTTCAATGCTTAAAGGTGGTAAACGAAGTAATTTGCTATTTGTGCTGTCGGCACAAATGCAAATGTTTTGAAGACGATACTAGGCTGATAATTACAAAATAATTTTAGGTCTTAAAGCGTCTTCAATTAATCATTATTTGTATGGTCCAGGCATTGAGTTCTCTGCATCTCATGCCAGCAGTGGTGTCTAGAAAAACACGCATTCGCGTAGTCCTGTTGCGTCTACCACGAGGACGGCCGAAGTTCCCCCGTGGCCGGCTCACTTGATAATGCCGAAACAATGAAATTAGGAGTTATAACAGAACTGGTCTACAAAATCCTGGCTCGTCCCCTCCCTAGGGAGCCAAAGGCCACTTAGTGGAGTTAAGCCATCATGTTATCACAATTTTATGCTGATAAGAAGACCAAGATTTAGCAACAACTTTTTTGCACTTTCACAGCACGTCCTTGCAAAAAACCGAGAAAACAATTGAAGAGTTGAGAGCTTTTGGAAAAACACAAAACCCACTTTAACTTCCAAAAAGACAAATTCTTTT